GCAACACAAGGTATAGCATGTATATTGTGATTATCTGCAGTGCAGGTGCTTTGCCTGCTACTGTATCAATGCGTTGGGTGCCATTGAAAATGAATGGCACAGCGGTACGCTTCTTGGACAGGACAAATATTGTATTTATTTAATGCATTACCAAGGTATCTCCACCAAAATGATTCTTTTTTGTTTGTTGTTTTAGTTTTGAAAATAATTAGTTTGGGGTAAACCATTTTATCAAGTTTTTACTGCAGTATCCCTGCTGGGAAGGTTCACCCCTCTGTTTGCCCTGCTAAACATTATCACAGAAAGTGAGGGAAAAGTTAAAATTTTAGAGATGTCATTAAAGCAAGAGGTGAGGAAAATTCTTCTAGTAGACACTTGTATTGGTGACAGTCTAAGATAAAATGGGAATTTACCTCACTTTGGGGAGATTTTCTGTTGTGTCATCAGGACAGAAAGTGAAGGGAAATCTCCCCAGTGCGATACTGCCCAAAAATTAGCCCATGGGGGTTTCAACTAGGACCCTGCTGCCAATAAGACCAATGGAGGTGACCACCGCAGGCATCACTCTTGGTGCAACGTTGGGGAACAGCACCGAGGCTGGGGTGTCCATACTAAACACTCTGTCCTCAGTGCAGCTCATGAACACATAGTATTGCATGCCTGCCATTAAAACTGCTGTTATAATTAGTAATTACACACGTGCTCTCTACACAGCCGTCCCACCACCATGCCGCTCCAAGGCATCAGGATTGCAGCATACACTCAATAGCAGAGCTGCTTGAAGTTCAGCTCATCCCTCGCAGCCCACTCTGCCCTACTTGCAGACCAACTTACAGAGGCTGAAGTAGGACCGTAGTAGGTGTGTAACAGTGAAGAACAGATCGCTTTAAGGGACATCTAACATGGGCGCAATGTCAATATTCCCTATGAGGAGCAGCAAAGTGCCAGGATCTGTCTCTGTTATTCAGCTTCAGGGGTAGGAATGGTATGGAAGAGGGAAGGGGGTTATGATTATGCATATTTGCAAGAGGGAGCATGCAATTTTGCAATGGTCCAGTGGCATCCATTGCCGCCATGGCCCTAGTTTTAACCCAGCTCTACTCTATCCGATTTTTAGTTTTTCATGCACTTTAATGTCAGCCTGAAGATAGCAGTATTTCAGGTAGTGATAACCTATAGAAGCATTTCTCAACCTTTTTACCCTGGAGGAAGACTTGAAATAATTTTGAGGTCTCAATGAACCACTGCTAAAATTCTTTTATTTACATTTCATGGTAAAATAGCATGATCAACAAGCTGGTGAAAATGTTAAACTAAAGAATATGGCATACCGATTTGACACCCAGAGCTGAATATTTTATAATCCTCCCTTGCTTTATATGTCAATAATAATCATACAAATAAATTAATAATAATGGCCAGGAATTAAACACAGACTGAAATTTGTAGTGTCACCTTACACCAGTCATCAGTGGAATGGTGTCCCTTATTATGGTGATCAGTGGAGAAATGCCCCCTTACATTGGTGATCAGGGGGAAAATGCCTCTTTACATTAGTGATCTGTGGACAAATGCCTATTTACATTGGTGGTCACTGGAGAAAAGCCCCCTTACATTAGTGATCTGTGGAGAAATGTCCCCTTACATTGGTGGTCAGTGGAGAAATGTCCCCTTACATGGATGATCAGTGGAGAAAAGCCCCCTTACATTAGTGATCTGTGGAGAAATGTCCCCTTACATTGGTGGTCAGTGGAGAAATGTCCCCTTACATGGATGATCAGTGGAGAAAAGCCCCCTTACATTAGTGATCTGTGGAGAAATGTCCCCTTACATTGGTGGTCAGTGGAGAAATGTCCCCTTACATGGATGATCAGTGGAGAAAAGCCCCCTTACATTAGTGATCTGTGGAGAAATGCCCTCTTACATTGGTGGTTAGTGGAGAAATGCCCTCTTACATTGGTGGTTAGTGGAGAAATGCCCTCTTACATTGGTGGTTAGTGGAGAAATGCCCTCTTACATTGGTGGTTAGTGGAGAAATGCCCTCTTACATTGGTGGTTAGTGGAGAAATGCCCTCTTACATTGGTGGTCAGTGGAGAAATGTTCTCTTACATTGGTGGTTAGTGGAGAAATGCCCTCTTACATTGGTGGTCAGTGGAGAAATGTCCTCTTACATTAGTGGTCAGTGGAGAAATGTCCTCTTACATTGGTGGTTAGTGGAGAAATGCCCTCTTACATTGGTGGTCAGTGGAGAAATGTCCTCTTACATTGGTGGTCAGTGGAGAAATGTCCCCTTACATGGATGATCAGGCCTTCTTGCACTAGTGATAAGTGAAAAAGTGACCGCATCCATTAATTGTTTTTGGAAAATGTGTCTCCTTACATTTGTAATCATTATAGGTGGGAGATCAGTCTGTCATTGCTCAGGGAACCCCCAGCAACCTTTGGAGGAGCCATGGGGTACCAGGGAACCCTGGTTGTGAATACCTGACCTATACCATTTTTTCTTTGTGAAATGACTTTATATGTGGTAAATTCGGCTGAATTTTACCACCAATTGAAAAATTAATTTGATCATAAAAATCACAAAATAACAAAAAAATTGCGTTAAACTTGAATGAATTGCCCTTAATGTTGAGAACAAACAATATATGCTGATCTAAAGATAACATAATGCTGTCCTTAGCACTTATAAGTAATCTTTCTTGTTACAGTATAAGCCTGCTGCATTTTCTTCAGAGCTGATATGGAACAAACTGTAAAATTGTCATATCAGCACATTTGGGTGGAGCAAAGCTAGATGCTGCAAAGCGACCAATGATTGTCTAAGGCATTATTTAAATTAGAGCGGCAAAATTTACATTCGGGCGTGCTTGTGCTTAATAAGGCAAGGGACGATGATCTGCACGTGTTGTAACCTATGGAAACAACTAGATCCCACCTCTTATGGTCATAGCAATAAAAGATGGGTTTTGATTGGCTACATAGTTCTTTGCCATAAAAAGAAGTATAATTTATAGTATTTTTTTTTTTTAGCAAGGTGGCATTGTTAAAGTGCGAATGCAATTCCCCAACATATGCTATTTGAATTGATGAAGAATAATAATTACTATAAGGTTCGATTTTTATGTGGTCTTGACTGTGTTGGGTTCATATAATAAGGCACACGTCAGAGAACATGTCATAACAAAGAATAACCAATAAAAAGTGGCATCTGGTTGGTTGCTACTGCGCATTGTACATTATTGGACATCTTTGCGCTGCTTTATAAAATGAAATAGTTTATGAAAAGCAAGCAACTAATTTTGAAGGTAATGTCAAAAGTATTATACATGAATTACTGTATCCTGGCCACCAACATTAAAAAATAGGGTCCCTCTCCATTGAAATATGCAATTTAAATGATATTAACCTGCAAAGCCAAACTTATATAAATCAACATTTACAGGGTTATTCACAGAAGGGTGAAGAGTGTGGAGAAGGCAGGAGAAGGGAACAATCTAGGACAACATCGCGGACATGGAAAATGTTTCCAAATCGGCTATGTTGTCCTAGATTGTTCCCTTCTCCTGTCTTCTCCAAACTCTTCACCCTTTTGTGAATAACCCTGTAAGTACTTAACAAATTATTCAAATAATTTATATTATAATATATAGTAAATTATATAATATTTATTAAATGAGGCTATTGTGTAAAATTGAGTGTAGAAAATATCCAGGGACAACACTCCAAGACCAGGGAGAGACTATTTTAACAACTGCTTATGGTGCACTTGTTAAAATAATCAAAGTATGGAGTAATCCACAATGCACATGAACACTTTTGTGTATTGGTGCACCCCTATGCATTAACTAAATGCACATGCATTATAGTGGACCACAACCCACGGTTATATTCGATCAAGCCCTGTGGTGCCCTTTTTTTTAGAAGTCCATTTTGTTTGTTTACTCTGGTGCAATGGTGGCCCATTCACTTAAAAAAACAAGCGTATACATTAATGCAACATCCTGGAATTGGTCCTCAATGGCTAAATTTTCTATTTAAAATTTTTTTTTTTAGTGTGTAGATTCATTTAGTAAAGCATCGCAAGGAGCATTGGTGTACAAAGGACAGTAACTTCTAGCAACCAATTGATTTCTTTTAAGAACAGAACAATGGCAGACGAGTCTCAATTCGTAGCTATGGGTTACTGCAGATTACACACGTCTCTTTGCTTGAGTTACAACAGTAAAAAGTTGTTGGGAAAGTGCTGGGAAACTTTTTGCTGCTGTTCTGTATAAAGCCCTTCCATGTGCACCTTGCTTGAAAGCTGGTTATGAGTTGATGAGTGCGTTTGCCATTTGTTTTTCTTTGCTTGAGTTGACACCAACATCTCTTGTTTTGTAAGGCAAGGGACCAGGAATTAAAGATAACCGATCCTGTTCTTATATTAAATAATTGGCGAGGTCAGATGGATACTTTCTTCAATTGTAACTTGGTTGTCACATTCAGTGTTCTACAATGTAACCCATTTGTAACAACACTGTTACAGCTGACATTGCCTGAATGGTTAAAGGACATTTTATTAACCAAAAAATACCCAGCCGATTAAGTAATAAAGTCATCATTACATCATTTAAAGCACATTCAACCAATGATACAAAATCAAGGTTACTCCTATCAACCATACAAAATAATATTGATAGCAGTTGAAAATAATTTCCACAATCAGCCTATATCCTTGGATGCTCCAATACCTTGTACCAGCATCCTTTGTCGCAGACATGTGCCATGATATGCAGTGACCTATGGAACCCAACCTATGGAATCCAACCAGAGGCACATTTTAAATAGTGTGACTATGCAAGGTACCCATAAGCAAGTACTTTGGTTACCAAGGGTTCCTACACAGTATTCCATTCTGTTATTAATTAAAGATCTGTTAATTCATGCTTTTCACTATAGCAGCTGCATATTTATTTTCGATTGTATATTTGGTAGCCCATAACCCATTGCAACCTACCTTGGTAATCAGCGTCAGGGCTCCTATCCCGCGTTGGGGCTCGCTCTCCTGAGACCAACTGTTCCTTCCAAAAAAGCCCTGAGTCACCAAAGTCACTTGACCTCCTATCTCTGCCAGAATTGAAGCTTATCTTCACCTACACACTGCTCGCTCAAACCTCCACCTCTCCGCCTTCCTCCAATGAATGCTGTTCCCCCATTACTATG